CAATATATTGCCTTCATATTACTATGATTTATTTTGTTATTCACACCAATGGAAATATTTAATTTACTAAAGTGTATGGGCCGATCCCAGTGGCAACGCAGTCTAAGGCTCCCCATACACACACAGTTTGGCCTTCCGATCGACCTTACAGGCAAAACTGTGGCAGTTTACCCCTTCCCTTTCCTCCCCATACACGCGCAGATAAAGCGGCAGGCTTCATGCCACAATCACGGTCTTCCAGTGATGAGTCACACGTCACATGCTACAGTCCTGCAGGCAGAACTGACAGACTGACGGGTTTCCCACAGGCGAACAGTCCAAACGATTGGCCGGGCGGCGGCACCACTCACGTCAGTTTTGCCTTTCAGTCTTCAACTGTGCAGGCCAAACTGAGGCCAAACTGTGTGTGTATGGGGGCCCTAAGGCGTGAACGGTTTTCTTAGGCTCACTCGAATGCTGGGATTGTGGGTTTGAATCCCACTTGCATGCATTTATTCTGTGTGTAGGCAGTAGCTTTTGAGATGGGCGAATCCCTTGTCCAGGAGTCCTACCGAACTGAAATGAAGCATTTCACAGATGCCCAATGCTTCAGAAGGAGCAACAGAAAATATGAATGAAAGAACGAATGAATTTGTATGGTGTAAGGTGTGACAAATGATTAAATATGCAGAAGTGTCAGACTTTTGGCTCACACTGTTCATTGCATTTCAGATTAATATGCATTTACCTCGAGAATTATGGTGAGGCTTATCATGATGAGATTAAGGTAATAAAAAGGGCCATCACCTCCATTCGCCAAAACATGCGTCCCTTGCCAAAAACTGGCCATCAATAGCGCCACGCACATCCAGAAGACCTTACCAAATGACGAAAAATACCAATCCTGTAAATTCAGTTTCATGTAATTAATGTATGAAACTGACTAGAAACACACTTCCAACAGTCTTCTAAATAAGCTGAACAGAAGAGAATATGAGTGTTTGTGGCAATAAAACATATCTCTGGATGTCTGCTTACTTGTCTGCTACCAGGCATAATTCCAGGCATTCCATCAGGCCTGTTTGGTGGCGATAAGCCATCATCTATCACTGAAGCAG